ACACCTGCCTAACATGTGTGAGGCAGTGGATTCAATTCTCAGCATCATATATAAATAAATAAATAAAATAAAGATTAATCAATGTCGAAATTTTTTTTTAAAAGAAATAAGTGTGAATGTTCATAAGGAACAAATACACATGCATTCATGTGTGTCCGCTGGTTGACAAATTTCACTGACATTACTAGTAAATCTGAATTTATGCATAATATACAATCCACTGTTTTTCCCAATGTGTAAAACATTTATGAAATATTAATATTTTGGAACAAATTAAAGGTGGCAGTGTGAATATCATCAAGACAAACTTGAAACTGTTTAAGATCCATAAGCAATGCAATGAGTCAATCAATTGGGTAAAATAAAGTCCCAGACAGTAGTACAGTATTGTGTGTTCAACTGACTGAGGAAAAGAAATGGTTTACAAAAGAAAAATAGAAAAGAAAGAAACTTTTAAAAATAATCCTAATGGAATAGTAATGGTGACAATAATTTACAGAAAACTCAAAATACTACAACCAAGCAAACCAATGATTCCTGAGAAGTACTGGTAAAATTATGAGCAATAAAAAAATGAGTCACAGGACTGTCACCATCTCTGTGTGCAGAAGGAAAAGGAGATCAGTGAGACACACCAGAACTGCCATTGCCCATGTTTATCTAATAGGGATGTCTAGATTCTCATTATTTAAACAAAGTATTGCTTTACAGAAAGAATTACCTTGACTTCTTCAGAGCATTTCACCCCATTCACTCAGATTTTTGAACCATAATTTAAAATCTTAATCTCAAATCATAAAATAAAAATTTCAAATACGTGGGCAAACTGGAATTGTATGGCACCAAGATTTTATGAAAGAGACAACAGAAAAACAGCATGTCAGTAGCCTATTTTACTCACAGGTCACAGGGAAACTGAAACATTAGAATCAATGTATTAATGCACTTGGAAACACTCTTATTGTAAAGCTGCACCTTCCATGGGTCATTCCTAAGCAGTGAATGAGGACATCCTGAGCAGCTGAGGAAAATTTCCTGTGAGGTCAATGTACACTATGTAACTTTTTCACATACTGCCATACTAGTGTCTGTTGTATTCTGCTGCCTTTCCTATCCCCTCTCTCTTCCCCTCCCATCTTCTCTCTCTACCCCATCTACTGTAATTCATTACTCTCTCTTGTTTTTTTCCCTTTCCCTTCACTTCCTCTTATATGTAATTTTGTATAACAATGAGGGTTTCCTTCCATTTCCATGGAATTTCCCTTCTCTCTTTTTTCTACAAACACTTCTAACAACAAAGAGTGTGAATTTACAGAATATCAACCAATGTACTAAAAACTAGTTATCCAATAAATAATTCAATTTTGACCCTGGCCAGTAGAAATATCACAAGTTTGGGGCTCAAACCTGCAGTATTTCACCTAATTGGGAATCCAGTTACAAGCCCTGGGATAGCATCTATACCTCTTATCCACTTTCTATAAATTGGGGGACCTACAACTACCTAAAATCTTGAATAATCTGATATAACTATTCAGAATATAGGAAAACATTTTATTATGTATACCAGCTTCTCATAACTTAGGAAATTTAACACATAGAAAAGATGTACAGAACATGGAAAGTGGCAGAAGAAGATGTGGCAGGCTGGCAGGATGTGGAATTAGATGGATTTTATTTCCCTAGATACATGTATGATTGCACAACTAATGTATCTCTGCATCATGTACAGCCAGAGGAAAGAGCATTTGTGCCCCATTTGTGTACAATGTGTCAGAATGCATTCTGTTCTCATGTACAACTAATCAGAATAAATAAAAAATATAGAATAAAAAAGTTCCATCCCCCAAGAAAAATTACAGCATGTTTTGTTTTTAATTGAAGAAGTGACCAAAGCAAAAAGTTCTAAAATTCTTCTGGAAAGTTAAATATATATTAAACTAGTCAAGAGATCTCTGAACTGAAAGAGGAAAAGGAGTAGATATCATTACCTGACACTAATATATAGTATTAAACTACAGTGTTGCAAAAATAAAGACCCAGAATCACAGAAATTCCATAGATAAATACATATGTACATAAATACCATTTGTATTGTTAAATGCAATGGAAGGCCCTACATACATCCAACTCCATCAAGGAAAGTATTTAGTGTGAATGATTGACACAACCCAACCTAAAGGTAGATGTTAGAACTGGAGGCAAAGATCACTGGCAGTCTGTGTGCAGCATGGGTGTGGCTCTGAGATTATGGCACAGTACCCCCCAAAAGCAGATGTTAAGTAGGATGATATTCAAAATAGAGCAGAATAGGTGGCCCTGAATCTCTATCCTGACTCTCAAAACATCTGTTCCTGTTTTGAGACCCTCTTAAACAGACTCATAAATTATGAGTTCAGAAACATATATACAGTGGACAACTGAGAAAATATCTACCATCAGATAAGCAGGAAAATTTGGGGTACATTTAAGAATGATTCCTGCCTTAAGCCATCTGCATATAATCGAGACAGAATACCCCAAATCCAGTGTCACCCTGAGCAGAGAAGATTGGGGTCATAAATATAGTATATTTAACTGTAAATCGCTTGTAGTTTGGATCTTAATTTATCTGGTGCTCAGAGAGAAAGGAACTAGATAGACACAATTATTGAGAGCAGAGGAAAAAATGGTGGTTTTCTATGGCTATCCACAATCCCTGGGCTTCACTCCCTGGGATGAGGGCAGAGGAAGAGTTAAATCTCCAGGGTCCCAATTTATCCCTAGAAGGGATTTGCCAGCAAACTCTGCAAACTGCTGTTGCTAACAGCTGAGCTTCTATGTGGCCAGCACCAGAGTTAACAGGGGAACACGGTCCACCACAGGAAGCCAAGTGGGAGTGCAGCACTTCCTGCGCCCATTCCTCCAGCTCCTCAGTAGAAACGCAAGGCCTGCCAATTCTTTCTCTAAGATATCGGACCATGCACCAAATACCCTAACTTTAACTCATTCTATTCAATGGACTACATCTCAAGCCCCCAAATTTTGGGAGAGAGAGCAATTATGTGTGTATCTCCCTACATCACAGAGGAGTGGCTTCACATTGGTGTGCAAGCACTTCCATAGACTACAATCCCCCCAAGGAGTGAAGAAAAAGGGTTAAAATCACAAGTCCCTAGTTTGGTTTTGTGTCACTGTTGTTATTTTGTACCAGGAAGTGAGCCATGAGATTTTACCACTGAATCATATCCCTGGTCCTTTTATTATTTTTTATTTTGAGAAAGGGTCATGCTCAGCTGCTTAGGGTCTTTGCTAAGTTGCTTAGGCTGGCTTTGAACTTGCAATCCTCCTGCCTTAGCCTCCCCAGCTGTGGGGATTTTAGGCATGCACCAGAAAGTTCATCTACAGATCCCTATTTATTTCTAAAAATGGTTCAAAATATCTCCCAGTGGCTACTTGGCAGCCTGAATTCTAGGAAATTTGCATCAGGAATTTAGTCCACCAGTCAAGTATAAGACCTCCTGCAGCCTGAGCACAGTTATTAGGATGGCAAGTACTAGAAAACTGAAAAGTAGCTAGTACTCTGACTATATGGATATGGAAGAAGGAACCCCTTTCATACTGTTGCTAGAATATAAATTTAGTACAGCGATTCTTTTAAATAGCACCAGAGCTCTTTAAAAACTAAACATTCAACTATCATATGATGCAGTGATAATAATTCTGGTATACAGCTAAAGGAATTGGAATTACTGGGTTAAATAAATGACTTTATTTTCATATTTATGTGGCAGCATTCACTGTAGCCAAGATAAGAAAACAAGTGTCATTTGGATCAAGAGGGATTCCTCCCAGGTGCAGGACACTCAGCTACCCTGAGAGACTACACCCCTAAATTTAGACAGCTCTCAAACAGGATAACACCAAGGTACTGATGTTCATGAGACACTCCAAGAGAACTCAGACAGGCCAGCTGTGGGATCCTCATGTCAGTTCTGAAACATAGGACCGGGGAAATATCAGAGGGGAAACCAAAACCCAACCACATGAAGTCTACATGGAGGAATCTTACAAGTCATTTTAACAAGGTAAGATAGACACACACACAATTTTACACAACATAACTTAGCAACTTAGCTAGACCCTGTCTCAACAAAAATAAAAATAAAAGGTACTGATGTAGCCCCAGAAGAACCATTACCAACATTAAGCTTCTCTTCTTGCCACCAAGATTTTTACAAAGAATAACAGCAGGATTTTTTTTTTTTTTTTCAGAGCTGTGGTTTGAGCTTCCTTTCTTGTAAAAGCCAGGTCTGCTGACAAATGTCACACACTCTGTCTCAAGACAGCTTGCTGTACAAAAATTTCTGTTTTCCTTGGTAAAAACTTGTGAAACCTCCGTCTAAACTAAAATGTGGGACGAGGAGTAGCTGCCCTGTAACCACGCACTGACTATAAATCTCAGAGAAGTTCCCTACCATGGTCCCCGCGTTGTTCCCTCTGGAGGCTGCGACTTAAGTAAACCTGCTGCCCGCGAATTCCTCAGGTGCCGCCCCCTCTGCCCTACAYCAGAACCAGGGATGGAGCTCCTGGTAAAGCACCCTGCGGAAGGAAGGTTGGGAAGGAGGGAGAAAAAAGCAAGAAAGCCAGCTAGCTCAGGAGGACGGCGGCAGCGAGGCCCCGGAGCCAGGACTCCTGTCCTGCAGGAAAATCCCAGGTGGAGAGACTTCTCAGACCGCCGTCCACCTGTCAATCACCACCCACTTGGGAAGACGGGGCTGCTGACTCTCTAGGGCTAGCTGAGGCGGTGCAGCAGGTTGGGCAGGAGCTCCGCTGCCGGCACGCTCCCCACCTGCTGACCAGGGGGACTGAGGGGACGCTGCCAGGAGTAGGGCTCAAGCCGCGGACCCCGGAGCCTCCAGCAGCTCCTGGTGTCACCAGCAGCTCCTGGTGTCACCGCAGCCAGTCCCGCGGTTCCAACAACCTCCCTCCCCGGGCTCAAGAGGCCCCGCCCCACTCACCATTTCCTGGCGCTTGGGAGCCAGGCGGCCACCAGGGATCTTCAGCACCTGCARGGCAAAGCCAGCGAGACCCCAGGGCTGGCGACAGAAGCCAAAAGCCAGATCGCAGGACTGCTGGACCCGGAGACAGGCACCTCCGAGCCCCGTGGGCAGATCGCGGAAGCCGCCCTGTCCTCGCTGGCTGTGCCGGGATTGGACGGTTCTCCCCGAGTGCTCTCTGCTGCACAGGGCTGCAGACCCGCCCCGCAGGCTGAGCCCAGAGAGCCTTCTTTCTGAGTGACAGTAGACGACATCCAACCCAGGAATCAGTGAGGCCAGAATAACAGGTTCCTGGTGACAGCTTTTACTTTTCCTCCTGAAGTCTGCGAATTGGACAAGAGGGCCTCAGACTACAGGTAATCAAAGGCAAAGTTTCCTCTTAGAAAAGTGATCTAGCAGCGCCAGAGGAACATGTGCGTTGAACCTCGCATATAAGGTGACTTCAACTTATGATTATATGTCTGCATAGTATTCATGAGTGGAAATAATATAATGACAAATACTGCAAAATTTTGTAGAACTTTCCTGCTCCCTCTTTTGAGGTGATAGATTGAACTTTAAACTGGGAAGCAATCCAATAAGGCAGCAATATCCAATGAAAATCATATGTGAAGTACAAGAGTAATTTAAAGTTGTCTAATATTCACATTAAAAAATTAAAAGAAACAGGTGAAACTGATTGTAATGGCATAAGCCAATATATCCAGAACACTATCATTATGTTGATGTAGCCCAAAAGAATGTCAGCAGAGTTGTTTTGTTTTTTTTTTTTTTCTTGTCAGAGAGCTCATGGTGGTTTGAGCTTCCTTTTTCTTGTAAATGCCCCGTTTGCAGACAAATGTAACAGACTCTGTTTCAAGAGGGCTTGCTGTACAAAATTTATTATTTGTTTTCCCTGGTAAAAACCGTGAAACCTATGCTTACCTAAAATTATGGGACAAACAGTAACTGCTATGTTACCACCACTGTTATACAAACAACCACTGAGGATAAATCTCAAAGAATTTCCTGTCTCTGGAGCCAGTGACTTTTCTTCTTTAGCCCCTCTAGACTGCTGCAGTTTAAAATAAACCTTCTTCTGGCAAATCCCTCAGGTGTCCAGCCTCCTCTGACCTACATCTATGTGACCCACAGAAACTTATTTATCAAGTATATGTGGTTTTGGAACTATGTCCCCAAACTCTCTGGATTCTAAGCTTCCAGCATATCTCAGTTTGCAAAGAAACCTTAATCCAGATTTGACACCTGTGGGTCCCCTGACCTCAGGAGGGGAAAGGGCCTAGTCACCTTGTTTTTATGCTAGAAGTGAGAGACACAGTTTCTTGATAATATTTCTCCATAGACCCAAAGGCCAAGGGAGACAGTGCCCTGAGCAAGCACAGGAAACTATCCAAAAGTAGATCACTTTTTCCCACTTGAAAGTGGCCACAGGTCCATCCCATTGCAGCTATCAGATAGCAAACAAAGGAAAATGGGATCCCAGGAAGTGGGGGACACATGTCTTCAGATCTGTCCACAGATTTGACTCTATTGTTTCAAACATGAAATGAATACTTCTTATTTGACAATTTGGCCTTAGATCTAATGTCCAGGCTATGATGTCTGTTTCATCCTGTGGTCAAAGCCCCACAGCTAATTAGTAGCTGGACTGGGCTCAGCATGAGCTGTACCTTATTCCAATGCCAAAACTCCTCCACCAGACCAAAGGACTCAAGCAACATTGCTTATTCTCAAAAGACTTGGAAAGAGACAAATATTTTTTTAAAAAAACCACACCAGCACTTGTGATTATATGTATATGGAACACAGTACTATGTGTTACACATAATAACACAAATGGAACCTTCTTATATATTGAGTCATCATGAGACTCCAATTCCAGGATCCAGGGAACCTTGGTTCAGTTTACATCAAGGGCACACACCAGCTAGAATTAATTTCAACCCCCCTTCTCGAATAAAAGTATAGGTTGATTTTGAAAATGTGAAAAGTTTAATCAGCATTTATCAATTTTAGAACAGACTGTTCTGGTGAGATGTAAAGAACCACCAAATCCTACATTTTCAAAATACAGATGAGCAAGAGCTATAGAGAAATGCAACAAAGTTCTTTATTGGAGGCATAGAAGAAGAGGAGGGTAAAGAGAGATGTGCGATTATTGGAAGTACTGTGAATTATCTGATATTGGAACGTGGAATTCAGACAAGGAAGATTCAATACATTGTATTTGAGCATGTGGATGGAATGACTGCCCATGGTGGAAAGGTTATTATGAAGTTTTAAAAGAATGTGAGTGGCRGATAGTGGTGAAACAATTAGTGTCTGCAAGGTTTTTGTCAATGATGGAGCCACAGCACATACAGGTTTAATAGCCTCCATGAAGATCTTCATCCAACTGAGTCCTCCAAGAACATCCTCAATATGGAAAAAGCATAGGCTTCTACATATCAAATGGCTTCTCAGAAGTATGCATCACAGACAGAACTAGTATTAAAGTTCTTCAAAGCTACCTGAAGTCTGGTCTGCTTCTGTAGGGAGCAAACCTCTCTTTCCCATATTTTGAAGAGAGCACCTAAAGAAGACATCCCAGTAGGACCCTTTGACTTGAGACACAATTGTTTGTCTTTTTATGTTATGGAAGTCTTCAGAAACAGAGCTATCAACCCAGGTTACTCCTAGGAGAAAATGCTTGGAGATACTGTTGGGTTCAACAGAGCACATCACAGGGCCAGAATCGGACTCAGAGAAGAAAAACCTAAATGGCTGAGAATCAACTGAAAGATGACTTAAGTTGGTTATCTGGGAATTTCATCTGCCACCTGGATGAGAGATTAGCCAAAAGTAAAAAGAATGCCAATTCCCAATGCCAATTGGTGGCAATGTCACTTCTGTAGCTCCAACATGACTGTAATCTGCCTGTAGCTATCAAAATGTTATATGTGCATATCCTTTCAATTAGTATTTTTTTCCCTTGGATTCTATCCTCATCAAGATACTAGTTTATGTTGTCAGTTGAATTATGTCCCCTCCCCAAATCTCATGTTGATGTTCTAAATACTCAGTGCCTCACACTGTGACTCTATTTGAATGTTTCTCAAAGACATATTAATGTTAATCCACTTAATTAGTGTGGGGTCTAATACAGTTGAATCCACTTCCCACATATAAGAAATGACAAAACACAGAGAAGGATAGGAAAACTGTTGTTCAAACAGTAATAGAAGATGTAAATGTACATCTCAAAGAGTGGGCCTCAAAAGAAATAACTCTAGCAAGCAACTTGATATATAGGCTCCAGAATGAGGACAAAATAATTTGCTATCCTGAAGCCCACTATCTGTGACACTGCTATATGACAGCCCTAAGAAATAGATGCAGCCCACTGGGACACATACACTGTCCCTGTAGCATGGCTGATGAAGGTACAATTGGATTACATCATGTTCCACCAGCATTGAGAGGTTGAACTGCTGCAAGAAGTGGCACTTTTTACTGGAATATTTTGAAGGCAAGTGAGAACACAACTCCAGGTGAGGCCATAGTGATTTGTCTTGTGATACATCATAGTTCCAAAAAATATGTAACAGAGTTTAACCACTTTTGTTTGCGTAACCTCGCTCTTCTTTGTGTAAATGCTTTCCTGGTAAGGCTGTTTGTTTTAAGTCTTCTAAAAGTAGTAGATTGCTACATGGGCTACCTGGGGCCCAAAATAAGGCAAAAACTAGCAACAGTAAAAAAAAACATACCCATTGCCCAGTACAAATTGAAAATGATGCCAAATTATTTCTCTGTTATTTCTACATACATGTTATCTGGAGCTTTAAATCAAATAGGTTGCCAGGGGGAGCAGTACAGTACAGATTCCTTTGGGAATAAAAATTCAGGTCAACCAAGTGATAAAGTTCTAGGACAGAGCTTAGAGAAGTCCCCATACTTGGGTATTGGTACTGGTCCTATCCTGGCCATCTCAAGTACCTGACTGTGGAGACCCTTCTCTACAATGATCATCTAATCCCAGACCAGAGATATTATTGTTGGTTGTGTGTGCACTTGCTTTTTCCCCAAGAGATAGCATTAACAAACAGCTCCCTGATAATCTGCATGGAACTCTTCAAAGAGATCATCTGATATACAGTATAACATATAACACTGGCCACCCTGGCTAGCCCCATGGGGGACACTCCCATTAAAAAAGTTTATATCCAGATCAGGTATATATAAATATATGTATAGACCTCTATCCAGGGGTGACACTAGATCACAGAATTAAGATCCCTAGATAAATACCTGAGTAGAAAAATCACTATCCAATGCTTAAATATCCACTCTGGCCAGTCAGGTCCAGTGGTATTAATATAAAAGACCACAGAGTTCCAAAATCTGGTAACCTCTTCCTGTCACTGCAGGTCCCCTGCAATTACCCTGTATAAACACCACACACACACACACATACAGAGAGAGAGAGACAGAGAGAGACAGAGAGAGAAGGAGGGAGAAGAGGAGGAGGAGGAGGAGACAGAGAAGGAGGGGGAAGAGGAGGAGGAGGAGGAGGAAGAGGAGGAGGAGGAGGAAGAGGAGGAGGAGGAGGAAGAGGAGAAGGAGAAGGAGACAGAGAAGAAGGAAGAGGAGGAGAGGAGGAGGAGGAGGAGGGTGGTGAAGGACTTCCTCAATGTAGTCACAGATGAGGGCTTGCCTGGACTGGTCTCCTCTGGCCTGCCCTCTTTTACCTGGGGGTGCCTCCTAATAATTGACCATAGGGTCTGTTATAGGGTTGAGTGAACCTCAAAAAATGCTCCCACTCTGGACCTTTTTGTGGGTTTAACCTTGGAAGTTTTGGACACATCAGAAAACATCTTACCCCCGTGAGCATCTCCGAGCTGGATGAGGGACTGTCTCAGAGTATGTGCCTGGTTACCAGAGTTCTAAGATCATTGTGTTATAATGCCAAAACCTGAGGCCCCTTCTTCAATGTTTAGTTCACCGAGCCTCTTCCTATGATTGCCTCCCCAGGTGCCCTTTGGGCTACTGGCTTTTCATCTTAACTAAATAAAATTATGCAAATACAATGGCTTTGCAACCCCTTGGGAAGTCATCAGTGCAGCCAAAGACCTTAGGTTTTTTATTTTTTTAGTTGTAGATTGACACAATACCTTTATTTTATTTGTTTATGTGGTGCTGAGGATCGAACCCAGTGTTCCACACATGTGGGGCAAGTGCTCTACCACTGAGCCACAACCCCAACCCCAAGGACTTTGGTTTAAGGAGTAAGATTTGGGTTCAGAAATTCTATTTTCTTACCATTACTGTGATGCTAGAGATTTAT